GACGACGCCCGTCGAGACGAGCGCGACGCCAATCATGTCGGTGAAGTAGAGCTGCTGCTTGAGACCAAAAGCGAGCGATAAGGACGTTGGCGACGATCGTCGAGCCGCCACCCAGCGAGGCCACGAGCGTCTGCGGCGCAAAACCCAGGGCAAAGAGGTCGCCAAGCGAGCCAAAGACAACGAGAAACATGCCAAGCCACCACACGGGGCGCTTCGTGTACGGCCGCTGGAGGTGCTTCGGACGCTCGTCCTCCTGCATGTGCGACCGCTTCTGGACGTTGACGCCGAGGTTCGAGCCGATGGCTGCGGCGATCGCGATCGTGGCGCCCAAGAAGTCGCTCTTCATCTCGGCAGCGCAAGTGTGTCAATGCGCCAGTTGCGTAAGTAACTTGACACGTCGAATGTGCTGTTTAAAAACTCAGCATGCCATTTTTGTTTTAAAATACGTTTTATATTACACCGGCATTGGGTAGAGGCCACCACGACAGGACGCGCACGAAAAACAAAAAAAGAAATCGTGTTTCTCGGAATAAAAATACGCTCGGGTACTGACCAATCAAACGCGAGCACGACCGGCTCCATGTGGGGGTTCGATGGGTCTGGCCCTTTTTATTTTTTCATTGTATTTTAATCGATTAGCATGTTTGTATGGCAGCGCACGAAATGTGGTAAAAAAGGATATGCGTACAATCACTCTACCACGTGCGCGATATAAAATAACCAAGCACCGGATCTATTAATATCGCCATATTGCGCGCAATATATCGGCGCGCCATACTCCAATCAAGATGGCGCGAGCCGATTATATTCGACAGGAAAATATTTTTCTTTTTGATCTGGCATGATGGCCGGCTCAGATGGTGGGGTAGCAGGTTCTGGGTTCGTCACGGGAGATTCGCCGCACGCTTCTACTCGTCCGCCGATGCGCCCGACTCCGTACCTCGGCCGTTCGCTTCCGATCTCTGCACATCGAACGACGATCAGATCTCATCGTCGTCGTAGTCGACAGGTATGTTGTCGGTGCGCGTTCAAACGCCCAAGTCCCTATCATCATGCATGGCCTTTCCACTCCGAGCGCCAGCTCGCCCTATCAGAGCCGCATCAGCTGCGCTTGAATGCGCGCGCTGAGATTGCGAGCTTGAAAAATGTTCGCCACCATTCGCCCGTGTCAATGGATGGATCCGTTGAGCCGGCTACCTCGTCGTCGCTGGCGCAAATTTGCAAACTGCAAATGCTCACATTGTACATTGCGAATGGCTCAAGTCGGATTCGATCCAACGACGAGCGGATCGACCCCGCGGTAGTTGCCTGCGACGGGCATTGCAAACACCGTCGCCGCAAAAAAAGGACCCGCGTCCTCGGCGTTGCAACCACACCGTGACAGCGGTGCCCACGGCGAACACGCGTGTAGTAGCTGCGACGGGAAAGAACACCGACGTTCCTCGGGAAGTGAAACCTACTTGCGCATATTGTTATTGGATGCGAGAGTGCGCCCTTGTCTTCAATATCCTACGGTTTCGCTGCGGCTGTATGGATATTGCTGCACAAGGCGCGCCAAAGATACGCTGCTCCGTGATGGCGCGGCCACCCGTTTACCCTCGGGCGATGTACTGGAGTTCGCGCTCCTATTCTATCCAGCTCCCGAGCTGGGAAGATCCCTTGAGTTGCAAACGGGAGGCATCCGGTTACGGTGGGGACCGTGCAAAATATATTGCCTGTTTTTGTATGGGCCGTCAGGCTCTCCGGATACGGTAGGGCTGCCAAAGTTGTTTCAACAGCCTCTGATCTGTGACCTTGCTCCTGGCGGCGACGAGCAATGGTACGGCGACCATCGCCGGCGATGGCCATGATGACCATGTCTACCTAGCTGCGCGAACGCGAGATGGAGCTGGCTCTGCAGCAGATCGTCTACGAAGAGCAGGCCAAGATGAAGGCATTGGGTATGTGCGACGATCCTCCTTCGTCTGGCATTGACGACACGCATGGCGCAGGCTTTGTGGAAGCGTTCATTGGCACGAACGAAGCGAAATGCAGCATCTTCCTCTCGTCGCAGTGGGAGCGCGTTGGGCGCCTCCTTCTCATCATCGTGAGCGGCAACGGGATCCAGCCTGGCATCTGGAGCCGCTCGTTGGTCATGGAGCCGCATGATACGAGCCGCCAGTACTACCGGTCTGGCTCCATGTACGCCAACAACCTTCATAGATGTATATATGCTCATGTCCATCGCTCGCATCCTCGTAGGCTACCGTACTTGCACAAGGCCATCTCGCTCGGATATGGCGTCATTGTGACCAACCCGAGCACGAACATGGTCATTACCAACCAAAACGAAAAGATCCCGATCCCGGGCTCGAGCAACCCGGAGGAGCACGTGCGGTACGTCATCCGCGCCTACGCGCTTGCATGCCATCTCGCGTCTCTAGCTACGTCTGGG